CCACGATGCCACCAGAGCTTTTGATAGAGGATTGGTGTCAGAGAGGAAGACTGCCAACGGGATGGATTGGCACAGTGACCGCAGCAACGGGCGCAAGATAGCAATGATTATTAGGGTGGAGCAGGACCAGGCAGTGATTTTATAGTTTTAAACATTTTATTGGGGGGCTCTTACATCCCATTTGCCACCAGGGCAACTCTTTCTCCGTCCGTGGCTGGGACCAAGGTCTGGTCCCTGGGAAATGGACTCAGACATATCAGGAGGGTAACAGGAACTGGACTGGGGCAGGGGGGAGTTGGTGGACTGGGAAGAAGCTGCAGCAAGGACCCCCCAGATCCTCTTTTCCTCTAGGAAACCTGGGGCTGCTCCACACTGACGCTGAAGCCTTTCGCTGGCTCCACTGGGCAAAGGTTGCCCCAGAGCAGGGCTGTGGACACAGGCAGCCCTCTTGAGTAAGTGAAATTCCCCAGGAGCAGAGGTATCCCCAATGCTCCAGTCGCCTGGATGATGGTGACTCCAGGTCAGTCACTGCCCTCACCTCTGAGCAGGTGTCAGCCGGGAGTGTCTGCGCCAGGATTGTGGTCGACAGGTGGCACAGCATGACTACATTGTACACCTGAAAAACGGTGAGTTGGCAGGTATCTTCTAGCCTTTGAGGGTCAGTCAAAAAATTTTGCTGCCAGGCCTCCAGGTCACACACGCATGGGTTTTGACTAAACAAAACATGTCTAAGCACGTCTCTGGATCCAGCGATGGCTGCAGACAAGCTCTGCCCGTGACATGCTGGGCTTAGTCTCGCTAGGGTACCTTCAAATACAAGGTCCAATCGAAACCGTGCCTTCAAGGGATCCTGGCCAATTAGATTCAAGGTGGTGAAGTCAGTTCCGAAAGTAGGATTTCCGAGGGGTCATCTTGACAGATTTTCCTCAAGGATGCAGGCCAAGCTGGGGACTTACCATGAAGAAGTTTGAAGGGAATTGCAAATGGCACAGGTGAGCAAAAGGTCAGAAGAGCTGTGCCAAGGACCGCTCTCACAACATGCCCTTCTGCCCCCAAATCAGGACAATGTGCACGGACTTTCTTGGAAGGGCTGTCGTCTGGAATTTCAGTGGGAAACCCTGCCACCTCACCTCTACAGCCCTGATTTAACCTTTTTGACTTCTTTTTGTTCCCTAAACTCCAAGAATATTGAAAGGGATATGATTTGAGTTCCTTGGAGGATACTAAAGCTGCTGTTTTGACATCCTGTCAATCAAAGAGCCCAGACGGAATTCTTTGGTGAAGCGTTAGAGGGATGGGACTGTTGCCTTCAGAAGTGCATAGATCTAGATGGGGGTGGGTGGGTAGAAGGTTAGGGGGGTGGGGATGGTGCTCAGAAACAATATCTTCACGTTTTGCTACTTTTGTTAACTACAGGTTTATATGATTTTGTACCAATACTTTCTAACTTACCTTCACATATATTTAGAACAATAAAATGATTCTTTAAAACATAGTTCGCAGAAAGCCTCCCAAAGCAAACTCCAACTCTACTCTGTATCCCAGAGACATAACAAAAGGATTCAGAAGGGATGAAAATAAAGGCATAATGCTTCCTCCCTCCACTATCATGATCCCAATTCTACCTTACAAATCCGGCTAGACCAGAGGGTGTACACGGGTACAGATAGGAACTGGAAATATAGGGAATCCAGGACAGATCATCCCTTCAGGACTAGTGCTGAGAGTGACTGGGAGGATGGAGGGAAGGTGGGGTGGAAAGGGGGAACTGATTACAATGATCTACATATAACTCCCTCCCTAGGGGATGGGCAATGGAAAAGTGGGTGAAGGGAGACGTCGAGCAGCATAGGATATGACACAATAATAACTTATAAATTATCAAGGGTTCACGAGGGAGCGGGAAGGGAGGGGAAAAATGAGGAGCCGATACCAAGAGCTCAAGTAGAAAGCAAATGTTTTGAGAATGATGTGGGAAACAAATGTACAGGTGTGCTTGACACAATAGATATATGTATGGGTTGTGATAAGAGTTGCATGAGCCCCTAATCAAATGACTGAAGAAAAAAAAGGCATAGGTAGTGGAATATCAGGCCCTGTAAACAAGCGAGGAGGTGGTCTCTCTGCGGCTGGGTGGTGTGGAATTCCAGGTTATCAATGGGACTGGTGGGAATAAAAGTTTGGGATTCCAACCAGCCTCCTCTTCTCCCACACTAGCATCAGAGGATGAGAGGGGTACCTCTCGTTGTCTTGTGCGGGTAGAAGTCTGGGCTGCCCATCTTGTCTCCCCCTGACTTGGCGGGGCAGGTAGAGGGCAAGGCCTGGAGGTTAGGAAAGCCCGGGTTCCTGCTCTGCTGTCAGGGACACACTCTCCCGGGAAGCAAGGCAAGTGGTCACGCGTGCTGGGGGCTGGTGGCGTCTACACTTGCAGGGGGTCGGGGGCTTACACTGGCCATGGTGTTGGGCTGGAGCAGCACAAGTATTGTCTGAATGTTTTCTGCCTTGTCAGTTGCCCCTTTCCTGGTGCTTTGGCTAAAAGAAAGGAGGTTGTTCTTGGGGTCTTGGGGGTGTTTTGCAATGTCAGCCCTCCTCCTGCTAAGTGCATTTTGGTGGTCAGGGCAGGGTCTGTCAAGCAGGGGACTTGGCTTTCTAACAATCACCAGCAGTGCCTTTGCGAGGATGCTCCCCAACCCCAGCCTCAGAGCCCCAAGGATAGGAAATGATCTGGAAGTTCACTTGGATCTTTAACTGCTTCTCAAGGTTTCACTTCCTCCACTGCCAACACTTTCTACCTCAGGGATTTGTTAAAAGCCATAAAATGCTAGAGTTTGTATGTGATTGGCCTCCCAGGTTCACCACGGTTACAGTTCACGGACACAGGAACTGGTGAACCCAGACACTCCAGCCCTTTCTTCACTTGAAGAGATTGCATGAGAGATGAAGCTGGGTGCTAACGACACTCATTGTTCCAGGGGACCGATGCCAGAGCAGAGCTCCTGCAAAGCGTCCCCCAGGCTCCCATCTTTTCAGAAGCAGGAAACCACATCTTTGCCCCACCGGTGGTTTTGAAGCACCTTCTTTTGGTTTGCAGCCAAGTGTTTTCACCACCGCGCCACCAGGACGCCTGGATAGATAATGCTAGTCAGTGACAGACCATGAACATTGGACTTGGGAGCTGCCACGTTTCCCAGCAAGCCCAGTCATCCCATCCCATCCGCCTCTTCTATGTGTAATCAGGGAGCGTCCGCAAAATGACTATCACTCTCCTCGTTCAGCCAGGACGGGTCAGGGAAGGGCCAGTGCGCGATGAGACCACTTGGTCGCCTTCAGAGGCAATGCTGCTGCTGGGCGTTGTCATGTGGGCTCTGCCTCTCAGGGACCCTGCAGACACGGGAGACACTGCCCAGCCTGGTGTGCTCCTCACAGCTGTTCTTGCGTTAGCGCTCTTTGTGGCAGCCCCACGTCACTCCATCTTGTTGGCGGTCTTCCTCTTTACCAAGCATGGTGTCCTTCTCCAGGGACTGTCTCTCCTGACAACGTCTCCAAACCGTGTGAGATGACCTCACGCCGTTCTTCCTTCTAAGGAGTATTCTGGCTGCTCGTCTTCCAAGACAGGCCTGCTGGTTCTTTGGGAAGTCCGTGGTACTTTCGACAGTCTATGCCAGTGCCACGATTCAAGTGTCATCAATTCATCTTTGCCCTGTTCAGTGCCCCACTTTCACGTGTATAGGAGGCGATGAAGAATACGATGGCTTGGGTCAGGCGCACCTTAGCCTCTTGCTTTCCAACACTTTCAAGGGGCCGTGTGCAGCGGATTTACCTAATGCCATGTGCCATTGATGTGTTGACTGCTGCTTCCATGAACATCGATTATGGATCCAAGCAAGATCATTTCCTCGACAGCTTCAACCGTTTCTCCGTTTATCACGGTGTTACCTATTGGTCCAGTTGTGAGGATTAGGGTTTTACTGACATTGAATTGTAACCCCTATTGAAGGTTGCAATCCTTGATCTTCATCAGTCAGTGTTGCAAGTCCTGGCTCTCAGCAAGCAAGGTGTTGTCGTCTGCCAATGGAAGAGACAACACCCCTAGTTTACTCACTGATCAGTCTTCCATCTCAGGACCTCAGGGTTAGCCCAGGGGTGTCACTACGCTTGATTTCACCCGGTGCAGTAACTCACAGTGTCACACGCTGTCCCTTGCTGTGGGTGGGGCTGGCTAGTGGAAATGCTGCACCCCACAGTGGGCAGAGTCTTTCTCCAAGCCAGCCCCCAAGGCCCCTGAAGCTCCTCTCCTCTCCCACCAGCCAAGAGACCCTCCTCTTCACCCAATGGCACCTCTGGTGGGTTGCACGGGGGTGAGGAGTTACTGAACTGGGTGATGGCTGACACCGACCTTAGGGAGTCACAGTCCCTCCCCTGTTGTGCTGTTTCACCACAGGCCATTGCCATGGTGCCTGGGGTCCTCTTGGCATCTCCTCATCTGACAGCACACCCTTGGACCCCCTAATGATGGCACCAGTTGAGCCCCTCCTCTCCTACAAACACTGTCCTCCTCTCCTGGGGATTTGATACTGTTTACTCATCTGGTTTATGCTACTTCCTGATGAAGGTCAAAATAATTTATGGTATCTTTATATTTTAAATAAGAGCCAGTATATGCTGTGGAGTTGATTCAGTCCCATGGTGTCTTCGTAGGATGAAGTAGAGAGGCGCAGCAGGGCTCCCAAGGCAGTGCATGTGAATAGAAGCAGATTGCCACTTCTTTCTCCCATGGGGAAACTGTGGGCTCCAACAGCTGACCCCTGTGGTAGTTACATCATCTGGTGTCAACTTGAGACTATTAAGAGCGAAAGGGTAGAGTTTAGCCTGTCAATCAGGTCGCAGCTTGATGACCTCATTTGGAGGCGCGATGGAGATAAATAGCTCACTGGAGGCCAGACACACCCACTCCCTGATTGACATTCCCGTTGGCAAGCCATCATGGAGCTACACAGATGGAACCAGAGCTCTGGAACTGGAGGAGCCACGTGAAGACCCACACCAGTGCTGAGATGCTTCCACCGCCACTGGAGCCACAAGACTTTCCACTCACTGGCCTGTGATCTTCCTGCATTTGGCATCATTGCATGTTTTGCATATCTGAATAGGAAATAATAGACTGGTATTGGACACCTGGGCTAATATTGGATTTATGGACTTGATCTGGACTGGGCTGGGATGCTTTCTTAATATACAATTACTCTTTATATAAACTCTTTCACACACACACACACACACACACACACACACACGAGTCTCCCTGGATTTGTTTCTCTAGTCAACAGGGGGTTTGTTAGCCCATAAACAGGATACCAAACCCTGCAAAAACCCACCTCCATGGAGTGGTTTCTGATCCTAGAGGACAGGGAGCATTCCATAGGGTTTCTGAGGTTGTAAATCTCTATGGAAGCAGACAGCCTCAACTTTCTCCAGTGGAGCAGCTGGTGGTTTTGAGGCTTGGCAACATTAAACAATCCCTTAAGTAATGACTACTGAAAACTTCCTGGCAAGCACCACACCAGCAACAACCAACCCCTCATAAATCTCACCGAAACCTACGCTCACGTCTGTTTTTTTAGAGATAACTCTGCAGATGGTCAGCTTGTCAAGGTAAAAGAGGAGTTACAGGGATGCAGTCCTCTCTCCCAGGGAGATGTGGGGAGAGGCCCATCTTTCCAGTGTGATTTCCAGGTTCCCTGCAATGCTTCCAGCCCCTGGGAAACAGGCAAAGACAATCACCAGGAGAGCAAGTGGCAGCTCCGTGAGCAGACAGGGATAGTTTCTCAACGATGGTTTGTAAGCAGTTCCTGGCTCACAGAGCCCTGTGTGTCTGAGCAGTGGCCCTGCAGGATGGGCCCCATTGGATGTTTTCAGTGGCTGGATTTCCAGCAGCAGATCCTTGGGCCTTTCTTCCCGGGAGCTTCAGGGTGCACTTGAACCTGGGCTTCTCTGTTAACAGTTGAATACCTTAACCATTTGTCCCATTCAGAATCTCCGGCTGCGTTTCAGACTCTCATTTGCAAGCTGTGACCTGAAGCCAAGCACCCACAGCCCAGATGCACTGCCATTGAGTGGATTCCAACTCATGTGACCTCATCCAGTTTCCAAGGCTGAATCTTTCCGGGAGCAGACAGCCGCCTCGTTCTCCTGTGGAGGGACCTGGTGATTGATCCACAGCTGAACCCCCTCTGGGGCTCCCTAAACCCAGCAACACCGAGTCCCGTTTGAGCCTTTGAAACAAGCAGGGAAAGTTGTGTGTGCAAGGAAATGACCGGCTGGACTTACAGAACCAGGTGTTAAAAGTAAAAAGCTCAACAACGTAAATAAAAGAGACCAATGGCTTTCTGACAGTTTATTTTTCAGGAGACTTTGGGCCAGACCTGAAAGGACCTGTCCCGCCACAGGAAGGACAGAAGACCTACCAGCAGCTGAACACGAAGGCGCCAAACTGAAATCATGTGTTGTTACTGGACAGCGGGCCGATAGCCAGACAGCCCTGCCCAAAGAACATTTGATGCTTTGAGGCAACGGTCAAGTTCTCAACAGGGAAGAATGAGAAGAGGCAGCAATTCTAGGTCTCAAGGAGTCTAGCCATCAGATAAGAAGATTTATTTAAGGACAAACCCGAGAGAAACAGCTACCCCTCTAGAAGTTTCTGCCAGCTATCTCTACACGGATACCTCTGATTTGTCGCACTTACTACTAGACTGAGGAGAAAGGAACTTAACCTTCTAGTTTCACACCGGCGGGTGTGATGAAGGGAAGTCTCACACGAGGGGCCTGCTCTGATCAGTTCCTTAGTGGATCTCCAGTGGCCCCACGATGTGGAAGTGCTCTGGCCCCACTTCTGTGGGTGCCTGGGGGCCAGCGCCCCTCTTCCTCCGCCCCGCACAGCCCCGGGCACAGCGGGAGGAGGCGTCGCCCACTTTGCACACGGCGATCTTACACTGCAGATAGACCACCTCGTAGCTGCTGAGAAAGTGGAAGGCGTTGAACTTGAACTGGGCCACGTGTTTCTGACTGGGGTGGAGGTTGGCGTAGGTTTCATCTTTGATGCACCTGATGGAAAGAAAAAAAAAACCCCGGCCAAAGATGAGCGCCGAGCAGGGTGTGGATTGGCTCTGCCTGGAGGAAGCAGGCTGGAATCCAGACCTCTGCACTCCAGGTGGAGTTCTGCCCCCACCCTCCTCCTGTCCACCTTTCCTTTGATAAAGAAATGCTAGGGGGACATTGGCAGCATTCAATACATGCATCAAAAAGAAGAACGATCTTAAAGCAACCATCCCAGCTCCCAAGCCAGGACACTAGTTTAAGAAGGACAAATGAACCCTAAAAGCATGCAGAAGGAAGCAGGAATGGGGGTTGGGTTCTGCCGCATAAGGAGTGGCTTAATGTGCAGCAAGGAGGGTCACAGGAGAGAGCTTCCACACTCTGTTTGGTGCTGCATCTGTACAGGCTGCTGTGAAGGTGGGGCCACCACCCAAGGGTCTTGCTCTATGTAGCTCCTTTGTGGCTCTCTGGTGACTCCATGCTTCGGAAATGCTCAATCTCCTCTTCCTTGTCTACCTGGGAGCCAGCGCCCCTCTCTTCACTCCCTGCACAGCCAGAGCCTGCGCCCCCCTCCTGCTCCCCCCACAGTGGAAGGTCCGGGGTCCTGCCCTCCCTGCTTTGGGAAACAGGCTTTCACCGGAAGGGCTCTCGTGAGCTTTATGTGGCTGCCCTCACTCTACAGCTGCCATCGCATCTTGTCCTGTTTGCTTTGGTTCCCGATTGCCCTGGTGGTATAGTGGGTCCTGCTTGTGCATTGGGTCAGCAGTTTGAAACCACCAGCTACCCCTTTGGGAGAAAAACAGGGCTTTCTGCCCCCATAAAGAGTTACTGTCTTGGAAAGTCACAGGGGACAGCTCTACCCTGCCCTACAGGGTCTCTATGTGTTGGAATCAACTCAATGGCTGTCAGTTTGTTGTTGTTGTTGCCAATTACCATTCTGAAGCATTTAGCCCATTTGGGTGGCAAGAGCGCTATGAACGGAAACAACTTGTCAAAGCCTTGGCTTGGCACATCTTTTGGTTCCCTAAAGGATCCAAACAGATCCCACACCAGTAGTTAGGGCTTGGCCTGAGCACCGAGAGCCTGAACATGAATCGAGAATCTGGTAGAGCCATGGGACATGGGAAAGTAGGCTTGGGCAGAAAGGGAGGCACAGAACAGGGGAGTCTGGGCACCGAAGGCAAGGCCCAGAACTCACAGGGGAGTCATAGGAGGTTCTCCAGATGACCTATCATGTCTGGGCATCAAGGGGAGGTGGAGGGCCCGGCTCTACCTCGGGCCTCCCTGAGAACCCTTTTGCACACAGCAGAGATTGAGAAGCCCAACCAATGGCGGGCTCCCGGCATGGCTCTGAACGCAACCAACGCAGAGGGGCTTTCCTGCTTCCTTACCCCTGCTCGATCAACGCGTACTTGACGGTTGTAAAATCCTGGGGGTCCGGAGATGCCACACAGGTGTCCACAAAGAGCAGCAGGCTGGGGTCGTGGCTGTGGAGCGCAGCCTGCAGGAAGACCTCCTTCTTCTGTCTGTCCGAGTATGGTCTCACTGCCTCACCGGGAGCGGGCGTGGGTGACTGGAGGAACGTGATGGACATGTCGTACTTGGCCCCCTTGCCCCGACTGTCAGCCCCGTGAGCGCTTTCACCCACGGAGGAGCTGTCCACCGTGCAGGTGAACTTGAGCTCAGGCACCTTGTGTCGCACAATGACCCGGCCCGGGTGGTCTCGGAGGCGGCCTCGGACGGAGTTGGAGTAGCTGCGGGAGCCACGGTGGTTCTGTGAGGACGAGAGGAATTGCTGGTGGCCGCAGAGCCCTGCTTCCGGAAGACCACCTTTATAGACAGGCACCTGCTTGTCACCCCAGTCGCTCGGGGGCAGGACACCCTGGCCTGACTTCTATGGTCCCTAACCAGGGGAGGGATGCTGTCATGTTCTCTTTCCTGGGCATTTAGGGGGCAGCCAGGGAGCCCCCAGATGTGTGAGCCAGGCCTTTCTTCCTCGCTCACCCAGCTGGGGTGGTGTGAATGGGAGCTTGTCAAACTCCTCCACACGTTCTACTCCCTCGGGCACTCTGGCTTTCCGAACCATTGCTTTGTGAAATAAGCGGGTGGCTAAGGGAAAGTCAATAGAGATAACATCTTTCAATAGAGACAGAGATTTGCTTTCCAGATAGGAAAGCACAGCTAGAAACACAGCCATCAGACAGACAGACAGACCATCTGTTCTTTCTTAGGCCTCGTGCCGTAACTCGTACGTGGCAGGTGCAGCCTGACATGGAAAGTGTCCCGTGCACTACTATTACCCTCCCCCCTCCGCCTCTCCCCTCCCTCTCTCCACTCCTCAGCCCATCGATACTGCACACGCATGCCTGCGACAAAGGCATCACTCAGGTTCCCACAGGGAAGAAAAGAACATCTCAGACAAATCAGCGAGCTGCCCCGAGTGGTTTCATCAATCGCAGAAAGGAAGTCCAGGGCACGCCTTTCCTCTGTTCCTACCTGGGTTTTTAGCAGGTGGTTGGATTTGCAAAGCTCTCCCCGCCCACCCCACCTACATCACTGCAGGGTACCACCACCTTGCCAAGGTCTCTCACCTGCCAGATGGTGCCACAGTGGCCATAGGGAATGTTGAAGATCAGGTAGCGGCCTGTGACTTGGGGGCGACACCGCTCGTCATTTAGGTGAATGTCCCAGGAAGAGTAGCCCAGCCTCCGGAGATAGCCTCGGTCGATGATGGCTTGGAAGAGGTCCGGCAGGCAGGAGAGCTGGGCTGCAGGTGGGAGGGGGAGAGGTGAGCCCCTGGCTGCATGTCCAGGTGAACGGCTGTGTCTACTCTGTAACAGTAAGAGGGACGTTGCCCTCGCTGAGGCTGGCCCTGCTCTCCCCACCCCCACCCTGGACTTTCATGGACTTTCTTGGTTCCCTCTCTTTCCCCAAAGGGCTCCAGAAGGGCACCACAAATGTAGAAGGCCCACCCACAGTGCACATGCCAAGGGGAGAAGCCAGAGCCTCCTCTGCGGAGTTAAAGGCCAACTCATCCCACTTGTTGAGAACATGGGGGCCCCGGGCCTTTGACAGATGGAAAAGGAGGGTAGAAACACAGGGAGAGAGACTATGGGTGCAAAGGGGACTCTTCCCTAACCCGCCAAAGCCCACCCAGTGGCTGTAAACATTAGCGATCTCAATGGGGATCCAGCTTGTTCTCCACACACCCCCACCAACTGCTCTCCTAGCTCCCTCCTACAGCAACCTCAGACCCGAGGAGAGAGAAGAATTTACCTTTGTCCTTGGGTATAGCAGCACCAGCTGAGGAGAGAAGGGAGAGAGCGGGTGTGAACTGTGCTGACACACTGGACGAGGTCCTATCGGTCAGCAGCTCAGCAGGCTCAGTAGACTGAGCTGTGACAGCCAGGGTACTATCGTGGTGCCAGACTGCACCAGGGAAAGGAGCGGGAAAGAGGACACTAGTCCTCTGGCAGAGCTGGAGGGAAGGATGCTGGATGGTGGAAAGCTGGGATGTAAACACGGGTATCATCAGCACCAAGGTTTGTGGGAGCAAGAGAACAGCAGAGATGGGGCTTGGCAGGTCCACCTACGGCCACATGAACTCTGGTTGGCCTTTCTCCCTGTGCACGTGGCACCCTTAGGTTGGTGATCAAAGGCTTCCCCAGGCCACAAGCAAGTCAGGGCAGTAACCTAGGGCCAAATCCAGCCCAGAAAGCATGACTGGCTAGATCCTCTCACCCTTTCAGACACCCCTGGGTCTGTAATATGGACCTCTTGGACACCTGTACCTGACGAGAAGGAGCCCCTTGGCACACAACCCAAGAATGGAAAGCAAAGGACTTACCATGCAGACTGGGTCTCCCCCTGGCAACTGGGGCGGCTGGAATGGCAAACAGACAGAGGAACGTGAGAATCTGGGTGGTAAGAATCCCGAGAGCTCATGTCTTGGCTATCTCAGTGATTAACGTTTGTCTTAATAAGGACTCAGATCACTCTTGGACTTGAGTTCTATTTTTATGCAAAACAAGAGTGACTTCTATGTCAAATCCCAGGGATGGCAGCGATGCCTTTGGTATAACGGTCTAAAGCGAACACTGGGGTGAGTAGTGAGTGAGTCGGCTACACAGTCCGAGAATTCAGCAACTCCCTCGGGGGAGCTTGGTACCTGCGCAGATCACGCCCGCGTCCTCGCTGTGACGGCAGTTGTGGCGAGCCCAGCCCGAGTGAGCGCAGTGCTCCAGGGACACCTCATTGCCCAGGCAGCGCACCTGATCCAGCAGGATGGGCCCTGAGCCCCGGCCGAAGTGGCCATGCCCCGGAGCAGCCATTGCCGGGCCACAGCCCAGCAGGCGGCACACGAGCCTGGCGTTCCTCATGTTCCAGCGATCATCACACACGGTGCCCCACACGCCCTGGTGCCAAACCTCCACGCGGCCCTGGCACCGGCTCCATCCATCTGCCAGGCGCAGGGGCAGGTCTAGTGGAGGCAGGAGAAGGGCTCGGGTGAGAAGGAGGTATCATGGGTGGCCAGGAGCACAGATACACCTGCCCTGGAGGTAGTCCAACAAGGATGCTCCTTAGAAGTCAGGATGGTGAGACGTGCATCTCACATAATGTTGGACATGATGTTAGCAGGGACCAGCCCCTAGAAAGGATATCATGCACGGTAGAGGCTCACCAAGAAACAAGAGGAAGCCCCTCAATGAGCTAGACACAGTGGCTACACCCCTAGGCTCAGACATAATGATCGTGAGGCTGGTCCAGGACTGGGTGGGGTTCGTTCTGCTGTCCACGGGGTCGCTATGAGTTGGGGGGACTTGCTGGAATGTAACAAGATTGACCACTACCACAGGTTCCTACTGCTGGATGGCGGCT